AAACCTAGAACTCATTACACTCAACCATATAGGATGAATAATCCAAAGGAAGAATCATTGGAAGTGGCACCATCGGAAAGGAAAATGCTACAACCGTTGAGAACGTTCTTCTTGTTGAGGGCCTCAAGCACAATCTTCTTAGCATTAGCCAATTGTGCGATAGAGGTAACCGTGTCATCTTTGATTCTAGAAAATGCATTGTAGAACGCTTGTGTGACAATAAGACTATTCTTTGTGGTAGTAGAGTAGATAACATTTACATGTTTGATCTTGAAAATTCCCCGTCTACTTTAGCTAAGTGTCTCATTACCAAAGAGGAAGAAACGTGGCTATGGCATCGTCGGATAGCTCACGTTAATATGGACCATCTTAATAAGTTGGTTTCAAAAGACTTAGTAATTGGTGTTCCTAAACTTAAGTTTGAGAAGAATCTAATTTGTGATGCATGTCAAAAGGGGAAGCAAGTAAGGGCCTCGTTTAAGTCAAAGAACATTGTTTCTACGACTAGGCCATTACAACTTTTGCACATGGACCTTTTGGACCTTCAAGAACTATGAGTTTAGGAGGTAATTACTTCGGCTTTGTTATCGTTGATGACTATTCGAGGTTTACATGGACACTCTTTCTTGCTCATAAGTATGATGCACTTAATGCTTTCAAGAAATTCATTAAATTGGTTCAAAATGAAAAAGACTCTCACATTGCATCCATTAGAAGTGATCATGGGGGAGAATTTGATCAAGCCGGCTTTGATGTCATTTGTGCCGAATTAGGCATTGAGCATAATTTTTCAGCCCCCCGTACACCACAACAAAATGGCGTGGTTGAACGGAAAAATAGGTCTTTTGAAGAGATGGCTAGAACTATGCTCAATGAGGCAAACCTTCTTAAATACTTTTGGGCGGATGCCGTGAGTACCGCATGCTACGTGTTAAATCGAGCCGTCATTAGACTGATACTCAAGAAAACGCCCTATGAACTTTACAAAGGAAGAAAGCCTAACCTCTCCTATTTTCATGTCTTTGGATGTAAAGTTTTCATTCATAATAATGGAAAAGATAACTTGGGAAAATTTGATGCTAAGTCGGATGAAGGAATTTTCTTAGGTTATTCTCTTCGTAGTAAGGCATATAGAGTGTTCAACAACCGTACTAAGACCGTAGAGGAGTCTATTCATGTTGTCTTTGATGAATTTGATACTCACTTGGCGAGAAAAGGTATTGTTGATAATGTTGCAGGTTCTTATGATGATGATGAAGAAATCGTTAAGGAAAAGGAAGCGGAAGAAGAGAAAACGCAGGAACAAACGGAGCTTCCTAAGGAATGGAGAACATTGAAGAACCACCCGATTGATAATGTCATTGGTGACATAACGCAGGGAGTTTCTACTCGTAATTCTCTTAGGAACACAATTAATCACATGGCCTTTGTTTCTCAAATTGAACCAACAACCGTTTTGGATGCTATTAATGATGAACATTGGTCTATGGCAATGCAAGAGGAGCTTAACCAATTTAAACACAATGATGTTTGGGAATTGGTGCCTAGACCTAATGATCATTCCGTTATTGGCACAAAATGGGTGTTTCGTAACAAACTCGATGAAAATGGAATAATCACTAGAAA